GCTGAATGGGCGGGGCCAGCTTCTGCCCACCACCCTGCAGGGCCATAAACGGGGGCTCTAGGAACCTCCCTGGTTGGGGGCAGAGAGGTGGGGCCAGCAGCGTCCTCCCGGGCACCAGCTCACCCCTGCTCCACGGCCACCTCCTGCCTCCTCGGGCACAGGGGGAACAGTGTGGCCATCCCAAGCCCCGTGGATGAGGCGTGAGGACGGCCGGTGCAGACGCGGCTCGGAAGGGCCCAGGAACCGCAGCCTGGTGGGTCTTTGTGGCCATGGTGAGCCTCACTGTCTATGCAATGGGGACAGCATGGTGCTGACATCATGGGCAGTGTGAGGATTACAGGACGGGCACTCCGAGGTACTAGGCAGGTCCCGGGCCCCACTCTTTGTCTCAGCCCCAGCGGTCGAGGGTCCCTCCCACCGCACGTTGCCTCCCCGGCCTGCCCTGCTTTCGTGGGGCTACCCCACATCCCACAAGGCCTCCCCTGCCTTTAGAAGTGTCTGGGAACCCGCGAGGGGCAGGCACTGCCTGGGGGCTGCTGGAACGAGACCAGCAAACAGAACGGGCAGCAGCACCCAGCGAGGGAGTGTCGGCCCAGGGCAGGGTGTTGAGGGGTCTGCTTGCTGTGCCAGCTTAGCCTCCTGTATTATTTTCTTGGGGCTGCTGTCACAGATCACCACAGATGGGGCCTAAAATCACATACATTTCTTCTCATAGCTGTGGCATCCAGACGCCCAAAGTGGGTTTCACTGAGCTACTGCCGAGCTACGGGCAGGGCTGTTTGGCCTCCAGAGGCCGCAGGGAGGGTCTGTCCTTCCCTCCCAGCTCCTGAGGGCCCCAGGCGTCCTTGGCCACATTGCCGCACCCTCTGTCTCCATCACACGCAACTGTTTCCTCTTCTGTCTGCGTCAAATCTCCCTCCCCGTGCCTTTTACTTTTTTTTTTGTGAGACAGGGTCTGACTCTGTTGCCCAGGCTACGGTGCAGTGGTGCGATCTCAGCTCACTGCAGCCTCAGCCTCCTAAAGTCAAGCGATTCTCCTGCCTCAGCCTCCCAAGTAACTGAGCTTACAAGTGCCCACCACCACACCAGGGTAATTTTTGTGTTTTTAGTAGAGATGGAGTTTCACCGTGTTGGCCAGGCTGGTCTCAAACTCCTGGGCTCAAGTGATTCTCCTGCCTCAGCCCCACAACGTTCTGGGATTACAGCTGTGACCCAGTGCGCCTGGCCCAGTTCTCTCTCATAAGACACTTGTTTTTGTTTGTTTGTTTTGAGATGGAGTCTCGCTCTGTCACCCAGGCTGGAGTGCAGTAGCGCGATCTCAGCTCACTGCAACCTCTGCCTCCAGGGTTAAAGTGATTCTCCTGCCTCGGCCTCCTGAGTAGCTGGGATTACAGGCACTCACCACCATGCCCAGCTCATTTTTGAATTTTTTTTAGTAGAGATGAGGGTTCATCATGTTGGTCAGGCTGGTCTCGAACTCCTGACCTCATGATCCACCTGCCTCGGCCTCCCACAGTGCTGGGATTACAGGCGTGAGCCACCGTGCCTGGCCCACTTCTCTCTTATAAGACACTGGTGATTGCATTCAGGGTACACCTGGGTGCAAGGGCACCCTCTGTCTCAGGGCCCCTAACTTAATCATATCTGTAAAGTCCCTTGACCATGCCTCCTGTATTATTTTCTTGGGGCTGCTGTCACAGATCACCACAGATGGGGCCTAAAATCACATACATTTCTTCTCATAGCTGTGGCATCCAGACGCCCAAAGTGGGTTTCACTGAGCTACTGCCGAGCTACGGGCAGGGCTGTTTGGCCTCCAGAGGCCGCAGGGAGGGTCTGTCCTTCCCTCCCAGCTCCTGAGGGCCCCAGGCGTCCTTGGCCACATTGCCGCACCCTCTGTCTCCATCACACGCAACTGTTTCCTCTTCTGTCTGCGTCAAATCTCCCTCCCCGTGCCTTTTACTTTGGGTGGCTGCGTGAGGCCCACGGGCAGCTAGAGGCTCTGACTCTGTTGCCCAGGCTACGGTGCAGTGGTGCGATCTCAGCTCACTGCAGCCTCAGCCTCCTAAAGTCAAGCGATTCTCCTGCCTCAGCCTCCCAAGTAACTGAGCTTACAAGTGCCCACCACCACACCAGGGTAATTTTTGTGTTTTTAGTAGAGATGGAGTTTCACCGTGTTGGCCAGGCTGGTCTCAAACTCCTGGGCTCAAGTGATTCTCCTGCCTCAGCCCCACAACGTTCTGGGATTACAGCTGTGACCCAGTGCGCCTGGCCCAGTTCTCTCTCATAAGACACTTGTTTTTGTTTGTTTGTTTTGAGATGGAGTCTCGCTCTGTCACCCAGGCTGGAGTGCAGTAGCGCGATCTCAGCTCACTGCAACCTCTGCCTCCAGGGTTAAAGTGATTCTCCTGCCTCGGCCTCCTGAGTAGCTGGGATTACAGGCACTCACCACCATGCCCAGCTCATTTTTGAATTTTTTTTAGTAGAGATGAGGGTTCATCATGTTGGTCAGGCTGGTCTCGAACTCCTGACCTCATGATCCACCTGCCTCGGCCTCCCACAGTGCTGGGATTACAGGCGTGAGCCACCGTGCCTGGCCCACTTCTCTCTTATAAGACACTGGTGATTGCATTCAGGGTACACCTGGGTGCAAGGGCACCCTCTGTCTCAGGGCCCCTAACTTAATCATATCTGTAAAGTCCCTTGACCATGGAAAGTGACAGACTCGTGGGTTCCAGACATCAGAGCCTGATGCCTTTGGGATCTGTTATGTGTCCCACCACACCTGTCCTGCCCGATTAACAGATATAGACAGACCCAGTGTGTATTTGTTAACCTAATGCCATTTCTTCCAAAACGTGAATTCATTGCTGACATATAGAGACAGAAATCTGTACACCGGCACCTCCTGTTGGAATTTTAGAAGATCTGGCATCTCTGGACCCGAGTCCCTGGGTGGCAGTAATCCGTGGGTCCGAGCCGCAGTCCCCACCACTCCCCGTTGCCCCAGACACACACGCCAAGTGACAATCTATTCATCCTTCAACTTCCCTGTTTTCCTCAGGGTCTGTTGAGAGGAGGTGGCTGAGAAGCGGGCACAGGTCCCCTCACAGCCCAGACCACCCCCGCCTGCCCATCTGCTCACAAACGGAGTCAGCCCCCGAGGAAATCGCTTTCCCCGCCACACTCCCAGACGGCCGTTTCCTCCCCTGTGATCGTCTTCCAAATTATCTCCTATAATTAGGAAAGTGCGTTCCCTCGGGTCATGGGAAAGGAACTTCAAATGATGATTCCATAAAAGCAGAATGACCATGGGCACTCGGCAGCCGTGGTCGGAAGTGAGCCATCTTTTCCAATTACCACAGTGATGATGAATGAGGGGGAGGAAGCCTTGTGTTCAGCCCTGAATCTCAAAAGGAAGCTGCTTTTCCTCTCACAAGTCAAATCACTGCCTCCAAAACCAAGCGGTGTCCCTGGCTCTGAGCAGGGACGAAGGCGTGGAGAATGTCCTGGGGAAAGTGGGTGCCCCATGGCACTCTGTCGGCAGCACCGGGGCAGTGGGGGGACCCAGAAAGGCCTGGAGATGCGGCTGTGTCCTCCAAGCCACCATGTCCGACCTGACTTTCCCTTAAGAACTTGTTGTCCACAGTCTGGACCGCTATCTGCTGCCACCTCCTGGACCCTCGGCCCCCAGACCCTGGAGGATCAACCCAACGGCCTTTGGCCACGGCTCCGGGACGCCCTGAGTGGGCCGCCTCCTGGCTGGGGGCCCTGGGCAGCGCGACTCTCCAACCTTCCCCAGACAGCAGCTTCCATTGTCTGCAACCTGAGAGTTCACCCTGGGGATGGTTTAGACGTTCAGCGTCCATGGGGCCACGCCCCGCAGTTACGGTCACTCCCGTGGGGAGAGGCAGGGGGCAGGGCGCGGCGCCCTTCAGAGTCTCCAGGTGGTTCGGTGGTGGACGGCTTTATCCGTGACCAGGGTGGGCGCTTCAGTGCTGCCTGGTGGTGGGGAGGTTTCCACTGGAGGCCTGGTTAGAACAAGACTGGCACCCCGGGTTCTGACTCGCGGGTTTGGGGGGGTCTCAAGACTGTGGTGGTCACACCAGGCTCCGCGAGGGTGAGGTGGACGCTGCTGTCCTGAGGGTGGAGCCACTGGTCTTGGAGTGTGGCCGCGGCCGTGGGAGGTTCCCTGTCCTGGGTGGGCCCCGGCCCGGTGCACTGTTGAGAGCTGCCGTCCTAAGGCTGGTGCCAGGGCCCCTGACTCGGCTCCTTCGGACCAAGCCCCCAACCAGGACTGCTGGTCCCCACCACCGTGCGTGGACGAGCCGGTGGAGAACCCAGGCTGGCCCTCCAGTCGGCACCTGGCCGCACCTCCACAGGGGCTCCGGTCCCTCTCAGGGCCATGGGGCACAGACCTCCAAATTGCACTTCAGGGGGCGGCCAGGAAGCTGTGGCCCCAGGGGACGGATGGTTACCCAGGTGGAGGGTTGTGCCTGGAAGGTGTCCCTGGGTGAGGGTGTGCCCGGAGGTGTGTCTGTGGTGTCCCTGGTGAGGGTGTGCCCGGCGGGTGTGCCTGGCGAGGTGCTGCTTTCTCTCTTCTGCTTCGTTTTGTTGGTGGTGGTTCTGAGTAGCTGCCTCTCGTGTTAGAGAGTGCCAAGGCTGGGCTGTTTGTGCTGGAAAGATGGCTGGGGTGGGGGCCTACTCTCCTGGTGATGGAATCCACTTAGGGGCGGCTGGCCAGCTGGGCGTCACTGCCATCCAGCAGTGGGAGGGTCTGACAGGTGACTGCTGGGGGGGTGAAGGCCCAAGGGGGTGGCGCAAGTGCGCATGGGGGGATGGTTAGTCTGAAATAACGGGAGGGGTGTCCGGAGGCGAGAGTGGTACAGAGGTGGAAACCGCGCGGGAACGGTCGGTCGATGTGCACGATGCCTCCTGGACCCCGGGCTGGATCAGCAGATGGATCTGGCACAGCCCCTGGGGTTTCCACTGCTCCCCCCATGACGGTACCGGGTGGGTTATCTGCGTGGAAAGCCTTTGACACACTGTGCCCCGATCCTATTCCTCTCTCCCGTCTAGCTCAAGCTCTGTGCTCCTTCCTGCAAAGCCCAAAGGGCATGATTCCCAGCCCGTGAGGAAAGTCTACCCTGTCATTCGTCCCCTGTCTGCCCCCACAGCCCTGACCTGCACATGCAGCCACTCGCAGGACACCTTCCTGCCCTCCTGGCCTTTCTCTCCCCTCAGACTCCTCCTCGTGGGGACCCTGCCCCTGCCTCTGGCCGCACCTGCGAGGAAGCGGCTGCCCTGGGCTGGTACCTGCTCACCTGTGTGCATGAGCTCTGGGGGCAGGCAGGTGTGTGCTGCGTTCACCGGGGCCACCTGGGGCTCCCCGGCCCAGGCGGCTCTTGGGATTTAGCAGAAGCTCCGTGAGTTTTGCTACTGGATGGATGAATAAATGGCGCAGCTACAAATTGACATTTTATGTTTGTAGCCATCAAAAGTTATGTTTATGAAGAATTTTTAGTGACGTGGGAAAATACTCAAGACGTAGTGATAACAGCAGAATGCAGGCGGCAGACACCAGATACGTGGATGGAGCTGCGCCGAGGAGGTTCACGTGATCTTATAAAATAATATGGAGCGCGAAAATACTGATATTAGTTTTCCCTGCAGCATGGGACCCCAGGTGATCCTCTGTGTGCATGTGTGTGTGTGTGTGTGCATGTGTGCGCGTGTGTGTGCATGTGTGTGCGTGTGTGTGCATGTGTGTGTGCGTGTGTGTGCATGTGCATGTGTGTGTGCGTGTGTGCATGTGTGCGTGTGTGCGCGTGTGTGTGTGCGTGTGTGTGCATGTGTGTGAGCCGCTGGGCCGGGGAAGCCCCAGGTGGCCCCCGGGTGGACGCAGCACGCACCGCCTGCCCCAGAGGTCATGCACACAGTGTGAGCAGGTACCGCCCAGGGCAGGCCGCATTCTCGTCAGGTGCGGGCCAGGAGGGCCCCAGCCAGGCCCACGGAGGAGGAGTCGTGAGGAGAGAAAGGCCAGGAGCAGGACGGATGTCTGCGAGTGGCTGCAATGCGCAGTCGGGCTGTGGGGGCGACAGGACGACTGGACAGGGAGAGGCTTTTCTGTGGCCGGCTGGGATCTTATGGCTTTGAGGCTTTGCAGGGAAGTGGAGACAGAGGAGCTTGAGGTGAGGCGGAAAGAGAGGGTGGCACAGTGTCAGGGCTTCCCCACGCAGATAACCACTCCGTGACCGTCATTGGGGGGATGAGGGCTGGATCCCAGGGGCCTGGGCAGAGTCCGATGTTTCTGATCCAGGCCCGGGGGTCAAGATGGCGGTGACATCGACGACTCGGTTTCCACCTCTGTTATTCTCTCCGGACAAGCTCCCGGTGTATTTCATGACTAGCCTTCCCCCATGCGCACTGTGGCTGTAACCCTGTGGGGCCTTGCACCAGCAGTCCCTGTCGACCTCCGACCGCTGGGATGCAAGGGATTGCCCGAGGGCTGGGCGCAGCGCCCTGAGTGGATTTCATCACCAGGAGAGAGCCCCACCCCAGGGGGATTCTCAGGCAGAACAGGCCACCAGGGCATTTCGTTCTTAACACAGAGGCAGTGGCTGCTCAGAATCCGCACAAAAACGAGCAGGAGGAGAGATGAGAAGCAGCCCTCGCCCCAGGCCCACCCTCCGCGGGGGCACACCCCCTACCCAGGACACCCTGGCCGCACCACCTCGGCCGGGCACCCTCCACCAGGGGACACCCTCGCCCAGGCACACCCTCACCTGGGGTACTCCTCGCCTGCACCAAGCCTTGGCCTGGGCGGCCTCCTGGAGTTCAATTTGGAGGGTGTTGTGGTCAGTGGCCCTGGAGAGGTGGCCAGCCCCCCTGGGTTGGAGGGTGGGCCCAGGTTGCCGATGTGAGGGCCAGGCTGGGGGTTTCCTTCCTACTGGCTCGTCCGGCACTGAGGGGTTGGTTGGACCAGCAGTCCTGGGTGGGGCTTGGTCCGGAAGGAGGTTGAGTCAGGGTGGCGAGCACAGCCTTCTTAGGACGACGGTGTACCAGTGGCCTGGGGCCAGGGGGGCTCACCTCAGGACGGGACTCCGGGGGGCCCGACACTCAAGGACAGTGGCTCCCAACCCTCAGGGACAGCCGCGTCACCCCCACCTGGGAGCCTGTGGAGGGACCACCATTCCTGAGGGACCTCCCAAACCCGCGAGTCAGACCCCGGGGTGGCCGGTGTGTTCTAACCAGGCCTCCAGGACTCCACAGGCCAAGGTGTGTGTTGTGTCCACCCTGGGTCACTGCGGATGAAGGCCTGTCCACCACGGGAACCACCTGGAGAGTCTGAGGCGCCGGCGGCCTGCCCTGGCCTTCCCCACGGAGTTGACGTAACTGCCCGGGCGTAGGCCTGGACGCGAAGCGGTCTAAACTCCA